TACTCTGAATTGCCTAACCTCTTTGACTTAAGATATTCTTGTGTTTTTCCTATTATGATACTTTATCCTGGGTGAGATGGAAAGAGCCCTAAGCTAAAAACTTCATATATTGAAATACGCCAAATGTTATTTAAAAACTTTTGTAAACCTTCACTTAAGCATTGCAATCAGCATTAATCTACATTTGTTTCATATTCACTTTCCCATGATAAATGTTAACAAACAATGAAATTAAACAAAAAACAAACATGTGAACATACACATATTGTTTCCTCCACACAAGAACACCTCCCTTCACCCAAATTTCCATTTTAAATGCCATACCTTTGTCTGAACATTACTGCAGGATCCATATTAGCAGAAGTCATTCTGATGACTTGACGAATCTCTTTGGCAATCATTCTGAGCTTCTCGAAATTTACCAAGCCATCCACCCTTGAATCATTTCCTATACAATTAAAATATGTGCAAGAAAACCTTAAGAGGGTTCACAACACTTCAGAGACTGACATGTTATTTCTCTCATATATCACAAGCCACCATCAGATGTCAAAGGTCTCAAATTCAAGTGTCGTTAAAACCACAAGAAGATGTAAGGTAGAGTATGGATGCCAGTCAAAATGCTAACTTTACCCTCACTCAGTTGTTTTTATAGTGGCAGCTGTCAGCAGAAAGAAAATGTTACAATTGGACTGTGTTCGCTTTGATTTTCCAATGATAAAAGGGTCGGGAAGCTGATAGCAATAAGGTTACTGCCCTTTAAAAATTGGTTCTACCTCTTAATTTAGGGTGGAAAGAATTCATCTTCAACAGTTTTCAATTCTTTTCATACACAGGAGCCAATGTTAAGCCAAATATGGGTATTGTAATGGTTCTAGGGGTTGCTCGTGCGTAAACCGGTGCAAACACTTGGCTGGGTTGCCTGAGTGAACCTTTTCTGTCCGGACAGCCACTCACCCGTGGCTGTCTCAATCGCTGGCAGAATCCGTCAGTGGGCGTTTCTTAAACTTCTTCCAGCAAAGAAGCTCTTGACGCCTAGTCTCCTCCTACTCTCTCTGCGCGAAAGCCTTCTGCGCAAGGAGGGCGTAGGCAGCGGAGGACCCCTACTCTCCCCACTGGTCCCCAGCAAGGAGTCATGGGACCGCCTCGCCGCTTCCCCCATCTGCCCCCCTTCTCCACTGGTGCTACGCTGATTCTCTTCCCCAGAAGATGGGTTGCCTCTCCCAATCCCGGGACGCTCTCTGGAATCCCTCTGGATTTTGCTCTCTCCCTCCGGCACTGATGGCAGTTCCCTGACAGGTATGTACTGTTAATTTTTTACTGTTAATTTTCATTTTTCTCATCGTTTTTGAGAGTTAGGGTGACAGATATAGGGAGGCAGGGTCCCTATACTGCAATAGCTATATAAAGTGAGGATTTTGACGTGTGTAGCTTGTTGATCGGGGTGATGTTGTACCTGCTGAATTTCCTTCTTCACTGCAGCGATTAATAGCCAAACATCTGATGTTATAATGGCATCAGGTGACTGTCAAGGTTAATATGTGGGTGATGGGGGGTCCAGTTTGCACAGAATGTGCTGGTGAAGCAGGATGTGACGGAAAAGTTTGTTTTGCTGGGCAGTTTGGGTCCCCAAGTGTTTTCATTTTCTTTTTCCCTGCCAGCAAATGGTTACCGAATGGCAGCCTCTGATTGGCCGGGGCTCCAGGTGAGGGGGTTGAAAAGGAGAGGATTTGGAGAGACAGTTTGGTAGGTTGGGATAGAGGTTGGGAGAATAGGGTGGGGGATAGGGAGTGAGAGGAGAAAAAGTTGGTTCTGGGTAGAAAAATCCCCTCTGAGGAATATATCAAAAGCTAGAGAACGGAGGCTCTGAGTTTAGTGTGAAGGACAGCGTGTGGTGTCCTGTAAGGGTAATTGGGCCAGGAATTAACTAGGAGGCTGAGCTTGAGCCAGGAGAAGTAGAAGCTGTGATAATACAGTCTACCAGTCAGGAGAGGAGAGATTCTTCTACAAAAAGAGAATATTCCCAAACCAGTTAAGAGGGGTGTGGTGATCCTTTGGGTCTGTTACTTGGAGTACCTCAGGAGAAGGGTTGTCAAAGGGGTGTGTAACTGACAGAAAACACCACCTTGTTTAAGAACCAAAGTATTAAGCGGCATTATAATCTGAAGTATCCTATGTTTTACCCATTTTGTGTCATAAACTTCCTTTGTTAAATAAAAGCTCTCTTGTTTATTTGATCAAATCCTGCCTGAGACTCCAAATTATTAATTTTTTCCTCACACAAATCCCCCACAAGATAATCTGGGGTAGTTTGTAGGAATTGGTGGAATTGGTGTTCTGTGAGGTTGGTGCATTATATTTAAGTGAGGGCAGGCTAACAGCGCCAGGGGGGAAAGTGCCATTGCGCCGTCGCACAGGACCCAGCAGGACTGAACTTGCTGCTCACTGAGTGATGTCAGCTGTTTGACACATAGGCATGGTTTAAGCAAAAGGGCATTATGGGCAAATATTGACCTGCAAACTGAAGGTTTCCCACCCCTGAATTCAATCAAACACATCTACCCACCACCACTCTCTGTATTTACTTTGCTACCATCTGGTTTTAAATTGTCATGACCAAGAACCTGACATCTCTCATATCAATAACATGCTGTCAATTGGTGTTATGTTAATTTGGCCAAGGTTTCAGTGACTCCTAGAGGACAGATTCTGTTGGATGCTTGCTACTAGAAATAATCAGCATTATAAGCCAATAAAAAATAAGGAATTGTGGGCATTGTGTCTCATGAGCCTCTATAATAATGAACCTATCTAGACTCTGAGATCAACAAGATCATCATCTGAGGCCCTTCTTCATTTGCCTCCTCCAAGAAGTCCAGGGGTGGCAACATGAGAATGGGACTTTTCTGCAGTGGTTCCCCATTTGTGAAATGCTCTCCCTCTGCTTACAGTTTTCTATGTGCACCATAGTATATTTAATCTTAGCCCTAATCATGTCCTCTTTGGCAGCAAACCTCAGATCCCTTGGCACAAACCAATGAAGTATTAATATGCAATTTAATAAGCTGGCTCATTACTTCTCTGTGGCATTACCTTCATGCATAAATGTAATATCCTTCTTGACAACAGGAAAAAGTGGAATAATTGGAGGCTGCATGCTCTGACTGCTAAGGATGTTGCGATACTTTGCCATGTTTCTAGATGGATCAAAAAGGTCTTGAAGATCTCGTAGGTGCTTTTCATACTTGCTTGGTAACTTTTCCCATGTACCCCTAAGTCGGGCTACTGGTGCCAGATTAAGACCACTGCAAGAAATAACTCTCACATTACCAGTTATCAAATAAAAACAAAATCATACACCCTATTCAAAAGAGGATGCTCCTGACCCACATTAATATCCCAGGATATAGAAAGGTGCCTCCTCCAAACCCTAAACAAAAATATTGTGATACGAGTGAAATAGTGTGGATAAAAGAATGCTTTCTGAAGTGAAGGTTTCCATGAGGTTGGGTACAAAGTATGCTAGCTTGTCCACATGAAAAATTAGTTGCCTGATTATCTGGAACCTGGTTAATAAATTTTATCAATAATATTATATTCCTGCCATTAAAGATGTTAATTGTACATTTAACTAAAATGCATGAAAAGTCCATGTCTATAAACAACACATTTCCACCTAATAACCCCAAAGAGTCATAAGTACATTTTAAAGTTTTTTCCCCCAGTAAACTTCTATCAGTATGTTATGACATACCTATTAAGTTACCAAGCACATCCCAGATCTGACAATAACTATTCAAATTCTGATATCAAGGCTATGATCAGGCACTTCATTTTAATTCTAGTTTTCTACTACTCTGCTATCTATCAAAAGAGAATAACCTACCTTATAACAGCAAACATAGAGTTGAAATTCTTGCACTCTCGACAATGGAGAGCAATTTTTATGAAATGTTTTACAATCTTCATCCTTTTAAGCTGGTTTGGCTCTGATAAAATTTCTGTGGCAACCCAAAATGTCTCTTGATTCATAACATCCTCAAACTGTTTTAGATTAGCATTCCCCGCTTTAGATTCAAGTTTATATAGTTCATCAATATATTCAGTAGGTTCAATGTTCCGAAATAACTCAAAGTCTCTCATTGATAGCTGGGTAGCTACCTCAATGGTGCTCAGCTGTAAAAGGGAAATCTGGCTCTCTCTAAGCAATTCTTGAGCATCTTCATCTGAGCATAGAGTCTCAGTTTCCATATTATTTTTCAAGTAATACCTAAAAAGCATTGTTAGAGAAACAAACATTAAATGTCTTTTAATACAAATGCAGAAAAGTACCAACATAGCTAAACATAGCTTCCCTGCAGTAGCAGAGGGCCTTGTTGCACCTCCCTGCAGCAGCAGAGGGTGCCACCCTACCTCCCCGCCATGGTGGAGGGTGTGCCACACGTCCCTGCAGCAGCAGAGGGCCTTTATAAGGCTCCCTGTGGTGGTGGAGGGCCTTAAAATGTAAGGAATTCAGTAGGGCTTGCTTGCGAGTAGACACGCATTTGCTTGCACTGCTTACCAAAAAACACCCTCCCCATCATTCCCACATAGTACCCAAACTCCCATTTCAGCATAAAGGTAGCCAGCTAAATCTTCTCCCCTCCATTACCCCCCCCACCCACACACATACACAGAAGGGCCCCCCAAAAGCCCTCATCCTAGCAATCTCTCCCTTTTTATCAAGGTGAAGGAGGGAGGGCAAGCAAGCAAAAAGGCAGTCTCCTTGAAATAATAATTTAACAAAACCTTCCTTTTTAATATGGAGGAAAGCTATTTAGGGGGAACCAACAAACATAAACACCACCAGAAAATAAAAATAAAAACTCTTTCCCCTCTTTTTTCACTGGTGGGGGCGATTGCGTTCTTTGTTTACTTTGCCGCTGGATCTTTGATTTTCTAGCTGTGTGAGGTTCATCCTGAATTGTTAGCAGGCTCTGCATAAGTAGCTGAACTGGTAAGAAGACAATAAGCCTTCACACAAACCAGCAAACTCTTTCAGTTTCACCAGTATATTTCCACTTAAAGAGTTTGCTGGTTTGTGTGAGGGCTTATTGTCATTTCTTATTGGTTAGGAGGGAGGAGGGAGAGAACAAACAAAGGAGACAAGGTGCCTGCAATTTATCTGAAAAGTATCTGTACGGGACGCAGGTGGCGCTGTGGGTTAAACCACAGAGCCTAGGACTTGTTGATCAGAAGGTCGGCGGTTCGAATCCCTGCCATGGGGTGAGCTCCCATTGCTCGGTCCCAGCTCCTGCCAACCTAGCAGTTCGAAAGCACCTCAAAGTACAAGTAGATCAATAGGTACCGCTCTGGCGGGAAAGTAAACGGCATTTCCGTGCGCTGCTCTGGTTCGCCAGAAGCAACTTAGTCATGCTGGCCACACGACCCAGAAATTGTACACCAGCTCCCTCGGCCAATAAAGCGAGATGAGCACCGCAACCCCAGAGTCGGTCACGACTGGACCTAATGGTCAGGGTCCCTTTACCTTTTCTCTGTAAAGTATTGGTTCAGCTGGGCTACCCCCTGGGAAGCTGTTAAGTTCCATCTTTTGTTCACCGGTATATTGCCTTGTTGAAACACTTATCACAATGTTATTTCAACAATATGGCGATTTATCACACAGCCCTAGCAGGAATTAAAACCCTGGTCTCTCAACACTAATCCAACCACTATACTCCACTGGCTCTTCTAACATTAGAGAAAATAAATGTAGTGTTATGCTCATTGGAAGAGATTCCTCTTTTTATTTTATTTTTCTACAATTTTCTTACTTCTGTCCTTTACTTAAAGATGCAAGCATACCAACCTTCCATTCAGCTGAATCCGATCGGCTAACTTTGAGAACTGATCAGGAAGCCTTCTCTGTTTGATAACTCCTTCGGGACTCACAGAAACCTCACAGAGAGAATAGGTCTCTGAGCCTCCTGTCAAATTGAATTCGTGGACTGCATGGCTTACGACTTCTTTTGCTGTAGTGTCTTTGCTTATGATAATGTAACAGCTCTGTTGATCGGCTTTGAAAACTCTTATAACCTGATCTGGAATGTCTAGGTTAAAAAAATTAGAAGTATACAGTTATTCCCTTAAAATGATGTTAAGTTTTTCAAAAATTATATAGCTTTGTTTTCTGTCACAATAAATAGCTGTTTCATGTAAGCGTATGTGTAGTATTGTTTGCTGAGCAAAAGCAATGAAAATTTACATTGCATGTATGTTATCTTTAAAAATATATATTATTTCTTTCTATAGCCACAAATTTCTTTTTAAGGTTTTCATCCTCCCTGTGCCCACTGACCAAATAGGTAGCTCTTTGTTCTGGACCTTCAGCGTTACATAATGCTAACGTAATTTAGAAAATAACTGCACTTGACGATTGATGTGGATTATGACAAGTAGTAGGTATATCCTAAATCAATGAGGCTCTAAGCTTCAAGTTTAGTTTATTGATTCATTTTTCTTATAGACAATTTACTCTTTGTGAAGCTGAATTGGTTTGGAAAATTCAGCTGATAGGGTACAGAGTGCTATATAATTTAAATGACCATGTGCTTCTTTTCTTCATGTTGCCCTGTATCACCAAAGTCAATTAACAAACTTATAAAATGGGCTTTTCAGAAGAGAGCCAGATGTGACTCAATGTCAGACAGATCTGATTTTGACATGCAGATAAAACATGGCTCGTGGTGCAGGTGGTGGTAGAGAACCACATGTGTAGAATCCCTGTTCTTGGAAAAACAAAACTAGCATAGCAAGAGAAGACAAGGACAACTCTCCTCTCTTTCCAAGGGCAAAAAAGTTTTATTTTTATTTTTTATTATTACATAGGACAAGCTGTTGTCAACCTGGTACCCTTCAAATGTTTTAGACTACAACTCCTATCAACTGGGGATGATAGGAGTTGTAGTCCACAAAATCTGGAGGACAACAGGCTGGCAAAGGTTGGCATAGGGCAACATTGAAATCTGCTATCTTCCACCTGCAATCTGAAATGGTACAGTATGAGAAAGACTCAACCACATGTTTTGGCTGCATGTCTGAATCAGACAGTTACACAAGTAATTAGTTCCCAACAGCTGGCATTCAAATTTGCTATAAAAGCACAAGCCCTATAAATTCATCCTCTTTCTCCCTCTTGTTTGAAGTGTTCAACAAAAGCAGTATTTCTGAATCATTCTAATGATTTGAACTCAGTAGTATTTACATCCTTTTAATATCTATATGAAGCCGTTGGGAGAGATCATCAGGGGGTTTGGGCTGGGTGTTCATCAGTATGCAAATGACACCCAGCTCTACCTCTCCTTTAAATCAGAACCAGTGAAGGCGGTGAAGGTCCTGTGTGAGTGCCTGGAGGCTGTTGGAGGATGGATGGCGGCTAACAGATTGAGGTTGAATCCTGACAAGACAGAAGTACTGTTTTTGGGGGACAGGGGACGGGCGGGTGTGGGGGATTCCCTGGTCCTGAATGGGGTAACTGTGCCCCTGAAGGACCAGGTGTGCAGCCTGGGAGTCATTTTGGACTCACAGCTGTCCATGGAGGCACAGGTTAATTCTGTGTCCAGGGCAGCTGTCTACCAGCTCCACCTGGTACGCAGGCTAAGACCCTACCTGCCCGCGGACTGTCTTGCAATTTCACCTGGTGCATGTGGTGCATGCTCTAGTTATCTCCCGCTTGGACTACTGCAATGCGCTCTACGTGGGGCTACCTTTGAAGGTGACCCGGAAGCTGCAATTAATCCAGAATGCGGCAGCTAGACTGGTGACTGGGAGTGGCTGCCGGGACCACATAACACAGGTTCTGAGAGATCTGCATTGGCTCCCAGTACGTTTCCGAGCACAATTCAAAGTGTTGGTGCTGACCTTTAAAGCCCTAAACGGCCTCGGTCCTGTATACCTGAAGGAGCGTCTCCACCCCCATCGTTCAGCCCGGACACTGAGATCCAGCGCCGAGGGCCTTCTGGCGGTTCCCTCATTGCGAGAAGTAAGGTTACAGGGAACCAGGCAGAGGGCCTTCTCGGTAGTGGTGCCTGCCCTGTGGAACACCCTCCCAGCAGATGTCAAAGCAATAAACAACTATTTTACTTTTAAAAGACAACTGAAGGCAGCCCTCTTTAGGGAAGTTTTTAATGTCTGATGCTGTACTGTTTTTAATATTCAGTTGGAAGCCGCCCAGAGTGGCTGGGGAAACCCAGTCAGATGGGTGGGGTATAAATAATAAATTTATTATTATTATTATTATTATTATTATTATTATTATTATTACATCCAAGAAGGCATGTATAGGATTGTGCTATAATTGTACTTTCACCACCCTAAAACTACCTTACTATAAGATAGCAAGTCCTGTAACCTTTTGCAACTGCCCCCCCTCCAAAACAACAAAACAAAACAAAACAAAACAAAACACCAAGGCTGAAAAACAGGAGTATAACTGCTACACCTTCTTCATTCCAAAGATACCTTAAGGTGGTGAAATTTTGAGTCTCCTAGGTCCTAGTCCAGCAATCTTACCACTAAGTCACAATGGCTCTAATGGAGTTATTTCTATCAAGCCTAACAGCAAAGATAGCATGGACAGGCATGGAGAACTTTTTTCAAAAAATCTGCAACAGTCACCCTTCCTCCACACAATTTTTGCACCTCCATGTAGGCCACGTACTTCATGTACTTTTGGTACTCCACTGAATTAATCTCTGTCCTGCATAGATGCATTTCTCAAAACGTGACTGTCATGACAAGGTAGGTATTTTATAGGAAAGTGCCATTATATTTATGAGAAACTTTAGGAACAAAAGTCAGCCATCTCTAACCCTCAAAGGAGCAATAATTTAGAGTATGTTGCAAGCTAATACTTGCACAGCGATCAAAGAATTATTACATAGTCTGACACACATATGTTGAAAGATTAGACACTGAAAGATTATAGACACTGAAACAAAACAGGTTCAGCTATACTTCTGAAAAATGGCTTCACCACTTTGACTGCTTAGAAAAATGTTACTATTTAAAGCAGAATTTCAAAAATACATTTTTAAGAAAACATAACACATTATAAAATCATCAGGTTGCCAGTGATTGGAATACTTACAGTAAAAACCAACCGCTGCAGGATAAAAAGAAGGGGGGAAAGTCAGGATCCAGACTTTACACTGACATCATTAGTCACACACTGTATATGTGTGGATATGAAAACAAGTTACTTTGATTTTCCTCTTATTAAAAACTGTATACCAATAATCTGATTCCTTGTTACATCTGAGAAATATTAGCTAATCACAGCTAACATAATTGAAAAGAAATCTCTTCAAGTGTAAACAGAAGTTGCTACATAAACTGTTACATAAACATAAAGTTATGCCACAATGTGTTGTCAGAGTGCATAATTAAGCTAAAAATGTGATCTGTATAAAAACAAAGAAGAGTTTTTCTTGTTTTGTTTCTAAGAGGCCTAGGTGTGATTTAGATTACTGCAGTGAAAAGATGTGACGGTAAAAGACGCACACTAAGTTTTGTAAAGAGATTGACACAGTAAGGAACGAAGAGGTGTTTAGGTCAGCAATGATCATGGGTCAATAGCATCTGGATATGCACACTGCCAATTAATTAACTTTGATAGGTGGAATCCAGTTGATATTTCTCCACTGATAGAAAGTACTATTGGTACCTATCTGAAGAGCGGTTTCCCACTGGAACTGCAAGGTCATCAGGCTGGGCAACATCTCCCCCTGGTAGTTGAAGGCAGGATAAAACTTTTGGGAAGCACACAGCTCCCATAATCCAGTTTGTGGACTTGCTTAGTTGTAAGCAAAAATTACAAAAGGTAAATTTGGTGGCTTCGTCAATAGCACCTCATTTGTGTCAAAAAAGGTACCTCTGGGATGATATACTTGCTGGTAGCATAAAAAGTTGGGGGGCATTGTCTTCCAATTTCTTAAAACACTTCAAACGGTATATGGTTTAAATTGTAGTAGCTATGAAAGCATGATGATAAATGCATTAACGTGCCCCATTAGAAACAAATCTGTACTGTGTAAAGCACTAATGAGCACAGGAAGCCTCAG